TCTATCGTTTTTTATTATCTGCTCTTTTGTTTCTTTACATTCCTTACTGTGTTCTTCGCCTTCAACAATCAAATTACGATATTGCAAAAGTCTTCTTCTAGTTTTATTTTCATGACTCCTATCTCTAATTGAAGAATTTAGTGTGTTATAATGAATTCGAGTCGGAAAAAACCAGACATATAATATATTTTCGTTATAAAAACACTTTTACTGGAATCATTAGCTTTTTTCACATATAAATTAAAAAGTTTCTTTGGACAAGTGCCAGTCTATCTCTTTCAACCTTCAAAATTACTTATATTATATACGGCACTCATAGAGATAGATGATGCATACACCAATATCTCATAAACATTAAATATTGCCCAAGAAAAATTTACATACTTGCATAGAAAAAAAACTAGAATTAATGAAAAATTTGTCTATTGAAAATACAATTTATGTCTATGTGCATCTTCAACTAGAAGTATGATATCATATATTCCTAGAAGAGAATCTGACGAACTGAAGTAAATTAACGAGAAGATATACCTGCATATGTATCCAGGAACCATTTTGGAATTATATAATGCCGTTGATACCTATATTTTGATTTCAACAGTAATTAGTTGGATTGTTCTGATTGGCATTGTAGCAGATTAGCTCAAGCCATATTTTTGGTTTTTTTTCTTGTAAAAGCCTTTTTCTATTCATTCGTTTATAGTAATTGTTTTATCATATTTATATCATTCATTTATACGTCTATTAGTAACTTTTTTCGTGAAAATTCTAAAGATGTCGGGAAAGATTTCTCGTAGTCAATATGGCAAAACATAAAGTATAGTTGACATTTTCAAGTGGTCCATTACCGTCTAACAAACGTTTAAGTATCAATCAATAAAAGAAGCATTTATATGGCCATTGTACTTCTAGTTGTGTAATATTGACTACGACATATCTTTCCGGAAGTGCTGAGATTTTTCAGCAAAGAAGTTACTAAGAGATGTGCAAAATTATGGTGTAAATATAATAAAACAATTGATATAAATAAACAACTAGAAAAAGTTTTTTATAGTGAAAAATGCATTGTTCGTGGAAATAAAACGTGCCCTAATGCTTTTTAAGCAAGAGATGACGACGTTCTTTGGTGCTATTCAGACTAGAAAAAGAATACAGTTTTTATAACTAAGAATAATCTAGATCTAAATACAGGATAATAAAGACATACTCATATTGTACTCATACGGTTCTCTTATTATACTCTACGTGGCTTCCACTTCACTCTCATTGTGGTTTCATACTTTCATTGTATTCTCATGCTCTTATTGTACTCTAGAGTGTATAGAAGTACGTTGTTTCCCCATTAGTTTCAGCTAACAAAGTCAAGTAGCGAGCAATATCGAAAAATAAAAACGTTTATTTCAAAGCCTATGAAACCTGCATTCCTTTAAACAACAGTACTTCAGATTCTTGTATCGCTATTAACGCCATCTTTTTCGATTCAATTGTGGAACATCTTATGCTTTTAACAGGCTCAACACCTAGCAACCACACAGCCTATGTCTCACGCAAAAAGAACAGAAACAAAACATACGTATGTGACGCATAATGATTTACTTTTTTTTTCTTCCTTCTTCGGAATAAATATAAGAAAGTCTTTTTTTAAATATTTTCCAACTAGTTTATTTGTCTCTGTTTCTTTTTCCTTTAACTCAATTGCATAGATTTATTAAGTCAAATATTCTGTCCCATACATTGCTATCCACATTTCTAAAAGAGAATTAAAACACAAAACAATCATGGGTGCAAGATCTTGTAAAGGCACAGCAAATAGTAACAAGTAAAAATTATTAATTAGAACATAATAATTGATTTTACGTACAATCTATTTTCATTACAGAGCAATTACTATTGCTATTCTTGGTTTAGACAATGCTGGTAAAATCAATATATTAAGAAAAAAAAAAACAAAAAAATAAATTTGAAATTTTTTTTTTTGCTCTATTTTCTTAGGTAAAACAACAACAGCTCGAGTACTTGAAAAAGGTAATGAAATTTTCTATAAATATTTAATTAAAGTTAATAATTAAAATTTAGCTCCAGTCGATTCTGTAACACCAACAATAGGTTATGCTCAAACAGAAATTACTCTTAAAAACGAACGAATTAAATTAATTGATTTGGGTGGTGCAAAAACATTTCGTGATGCTTGGCGTCATTATTATGATGATGCATATGGATTTGTTTATGTTCTTGATTCAAGTGAAGAAAATCGTCTTGGTGAAAATCGTGATGTATTAAAAAAACTTTTAAAAGAAGAAAAAGTTAAAGGAAAACCTATTCTTATGTATGAAATAAACATCAATAGACAAAACTTTCTTAAATATATACACGGATTTAGTTTTCTCTTTTTCTTTTTCTTTAGTTTAGCAAATAAACAAGATAAACCTGATGCACTTGATAAAAATGCAATTGTTGAAGATTTAAAAATTGAACGACTTGTTAATGAAAATCAAATATTATGTCGAGTGGTAACAATGAAAAATAAAATTCAAAATTTAAATAAAAAAATAATTTCTTTTGATCTTATTAGGAATTATGTACAGCTAAATCATTGAGTCGTAGTGGAAAACATTCTAAAATTGATGATTCTATTCGACATGGTTTTGATTGGCTTATTAAAACCGTTTATGACAATTATGATTCATTACATAGACGCGTCGAACAAGATGTTGAAAGACGTAACGAAGCTGAACAACAAGCTAAACGTGAACGACAAGAACGTGTACAAAAACAACGTGAAGAGTAAAGTTTTTTCTAAATTATTCTACAAAAAAATAATAAAAAAAGTTTCTGAATTTTTGTTTTCTTTTTTTTTATAGACGAGAAAGACTCGAAGGTACTCAAAATGAAAATGATCAAGATGATAATACCATAACAGATGGCTTTATTCCTATTGGACAAGCTGTCAAAAATGCTGAAGTAAGATCTGGAACTACTGCTACTGTTAATGGCGACATATAGAAAAGAAAACTTGAATACTATCTCGTGTCTGTGATATATTTTTTTTGTCTTTATGTCAACTAATAATAAAAGAGCACAGCTTGATTTCGATTTTATTATTTGCTAACTTGTATGTTTTGAATATATTACTGAATATGTTTAATTAGTTTTCGAGACTCATTCATTTTTCATAGAAGAATAATTACTATGAAGACGAATAATTCATATTTGATTGAAATGATTATAGAATTAACGTTCTTTGAAATCTTCTTTTTTTTTTTTTCATTCTAGCGAAATTCATCCGAAAAATCAACAAAAGATAAATCCAATCGTATATCATCAAGTGAAAGAATAAAATCGAAAACAGTAAATGAAAATACATCTCTTCCACCAATACCAGCACCACGATCTTCATCTCATACTCGTACATTAATTGTTGATGAAAGTAGTGATGATCAAGAACGTCCAAGACGACATAGTACAGAAATTTCACCACGAAGAAAACAATCACCAGCACCTCGATCTATTTCATCAAATTTTGATGAAAATCAACAAATTGATTCAACAGATGAACAAACATCAATTCGAACAACAACTGGTAAAAAGAAAAAAGTTATTGGTGCTGGTCGACATCGTTTAAATGGTGATAGTCTTCCACCATTAGCTCCATCATCAGCAACATCACGTCGTGATGATTTAACACAAAATAAAGGACCACCTGCTGGTACACCACGACCACAAGCTCTTGTTGCACAATGGGCTATAACAAGTCCAAGTCCTCAATCAACAGCTCAAAAATTAACAACAATTACTAGTGATAATGAATTAGATGATGATGAAGATAAACATAAATCATTACAAATAACTAAACGTACTGGATCTCCTCATCCAAATACAACAAATCGCATAATACCTGATAGAAAACATCAATTAAAAACAAATACTAATGAAAATTTAATCAATAATGATTATAAAAAATCATCGCGCGATAAACAACATCATAATGATTTACACAAGAATGGTGATGATGATGATAATAATAATGAAAATGTATCTCGAAGATCACCAGCAATACAAAATTCACGTTCAAGATATAATGATGAAGATGATGGTGAAAATGAATTAATTAATACTCGAAAAAAACATCATTTAAAAGAACAAGATCGTTATTCAAAACCACATTATGATAGAAATAATGATAATGATAACGATGATGATCATAATTTTAATCATGAATCAAGTAGACGAACAACATCATCAGCTCGTAAAATGAATACGGCTGCTGGTGATTCTTCACATCGATCTTATTCGAGAAAACATGAAAATGATGATGATGATGATGATTTACAATGAATAAATTGAGCGGGAATGCTTTTTCTCAATAAAATGCCTTTATTTCTGTTTTTTTTTATAAATTATTCTATTATATTGCTTAATGTGTGAAGAAAACACAGAAAAAAAATCTGTTGATTCATCACTATTTGATGAAAAAAAGATAGCTTGTAAATATTTACTTGCTAATGAAAATCTGTAACTATTATTTTCTTTTCTTTTTTTTTTATGAAATGCACTCGATAAACTTGTAGATATAGAATGTAAAATGATTTTCATCACGATATCATTTGAAATAGTTTCAAACATGAATGTTTCTAGAGAAAAAAGAAGAAACCATAATAATTGCTATTATCTTTGTAAACAAAGAAAACCAATAACATCATTCATTCGAAAGAAGATGTAGAATATCATTTAAGAATACTTTTGAATTTCTATTCAATAAAATAAATTATAGTATTTATTATGTATACGAAGCTTTCTTACAGAAAGAATGAAGAAGAGAAAAATCGTATTTTGTTTTTCGTCCATGATTATCGTCCATTTTGTTCACAAGATAAATAATAAAAGCATATTGAAATGGACGTGTATTGTTACTTGTCTATAGTCTATATATAAAGTTCTGTAAGATTTATTCGATCATTGCATTCAAATCAACTTGATATCAAAGTCTATTCTAACTAAGAATGTTTACTATTGCTAATATATTTTTTCTTATCGTCATATCCTTATGTTATGGTGTACCAACAATTGATCGACAATGTCCACCAGATACAAACGATTTTAAGACTAAAGTAGAAAAATCATCAATTGTTGTCTATGGAAAAGTAATGGCTAAAATGTTAGATGAAGAAAGTGATTCAACATTTCATGTCTTCTTTCAAGTTGATTGCATTTTAAAAGGATCAACAACATTACGACAAATTAATATAACAAAGGCTGGTAAGAAAAACTTTTCTTTAAGCAAAAAAATAAACATCATCAAAAACAATATAAGTACATATCTTGTTTTGTTAGGTCATGTAGAAGGTAAACAATATTGTCAAGAATTTCCTGTTGGTCGTGGTTATTCAATAGCTTTTCTTGAACCAATATTATCAAATACAACTAATTATTATACATTTACACCAGCTGATTTTGTTGAAATTCTTGTTGAAGAAAATTCAACAAATCTATTATTAACTCGTACATGTAATCTTCATCAAATAGTACCTCGTCAATCATCAGCATTAGCTATTGAAGTATGTCCAGCTGTAAGCACTGATCCAATATGTCATGAAAATTTTGATGTAACAACAACAATAATGACAACTGATAGTCTTATGGATATAACAAGTAATATTTTATTCGATGTAACAACAAATACTGTTTTATCTGATACAACAACAACAACAACAACAACAACAACAACAAACAATCTTCTAGTTGATACAACAACAAATAATGTGTTATCCGATATAACAACAAATATATCAAACGAAATTTTATCGATTTCAAATGATAATGAATTTTTACCACAGGCAATTAATCCGACACAACAAGAAATAAATGCTATTGAAACTAAATCTCATATAAATCAAGTTGATGTTGATCTACACAATAGTGCTAAATCAATAACATATAGTATACTTATGATGATGATAGCTATTGTTTTTTTTTATTAAATTTTTAAAAGCGTTAAAAACAAAAAAAAAAAAATTTTCGTTACTTTTTCTTTTTAATATTTGTTCTGCGTACGTTTCCTATTTTATCAAAATATATAACTAAATAATTTCAGAAATTTTGTTTTGTTTTATACAATTTGCGCGTAAAAACGTTTTTTTTTTTTTCTTAAAATGTACCTATGAATTTTATCGAAACAAAACCAATGTCTAATCGAAGTTTATTATCATTTAATAATCAAGACTTAAATGGAAATGTAAGAAGATTATCAAAAAAATTTGAAAATCTTAGTGAATTAAGAATAGAATCTTATGAACGATTATCTTCTCCAAAATCTCAATTATTTACTTCAATTCAGAAATCATTAATAACAGATGAAAAATTTGAAAATCAAAATAAACAAAAAAAAGAATTATATTTTAAATAAATGTTCAGATACAATATCATTTTATAATACTAATTTGCATAAAGATCGATCAAATCATTTATTAAATAAAAATTCAATATCAATCATTGATAGTTTCTTAAGTTTAATATCAAATAAAATGTTTATAAGAATTTTTAAACAAATACTTGTTGGTAGTTCCATTGGTATTCTAAATGGATCTCTGATTGGACAAAAAAGTCAGGTTTCTTTTTCTCTATACTTTTATTTTCAATCAAAATTGACTATAAATCTATAGATCTTACAATTAAATTTATCGGTTTATTAACAACAACTATTTTTATTAGTGAACATATTCTTCATTTTGTACAATGGACTTCATTTAATATTGGTTATTTAGTCTCTCTATTGTTTAGTTCTTTTGTTAAAATTAGGCAATAAAACCTTTGTTTTAGGTAAACTTGAATATGATAAACCAAAAATGTCTTATTCAAATTCATGTGGAATAATAAAAAATATCGATAATTTCTTTATTGATAATATGCCAACGATTGTTTCATTTCTTTTTTGCTTTTGTACTTCAATTATTAATTAATATTTCAAAACTTTATTTTAAATTACTTACCAATCGTAACAATTTGATTGAACAAAATATATCAACAAAATTTATTTCTATTATAGATGAATCTTAATAATTTATGTTTATAATACTCGTGTTATAATTAATTATAAACATAAATGAAATTTAGATTTTATACTTTCATGAATGAACAAGATTTATCATAAATATTCACTAAGTTAACACTAGTTTTTCTTGTTTTGTTTGTTCAGACATATACATATATTTGATCGAATAGTAAAACTGCGACACCTTTAATGTTTAGAATAATTAGACTGGTCAATATCTTCTCCAACGAGTCATTTGTTTTTTTTTATGACAGCTGATTTACTTCTTCTCAGTGCATATTACAAGGGGTTTTACAAGACAAACAGAGTACAGGATATTTCCCATGTGTGCAATTGTAAATAATCTTCCCACATAGAAAAAAAAAGACACCCTAAAGGGTAACAAAAACAGTTAATCATCAACTTTATGAATCATTTTTTGTTTTGATTAAAAGAAAAAAAAAACTTTTACATATACAGATATTTAAAAATGCATCTTGAGAAGAAAACATCAACCGAAGAGACACCAATGGATGGTCGAGATCTCATATGTCCAATATGCATGAGTAAGAACAATTATTTGATTTTAAAATATTCTTATTTTTCTTTTCATATACAAATAGCTATTGGCGAAGATCCTCATATAACATCATGTTGCCATCGAGTATTTTGTTCAAAAGATGCTAATTCAAGAAAATATGATAATGGTTGTCCATTATGTCGTGCAGAAAATTATTCATTTCAACAATCTACTAAACATAAAGATATGCTGGATAAACTTACAATACAATGTACTTGTTCAGAACGAGTGCTTCATCATGAATACGAACATCATTTGGCACGATGTTTAAATATAACATTTACTTGTCCTCATAATGCCTGTATAGAAAATGTAAATCATTAATAGTAATACTAAAGAACAAAATTTTTTTTTTATTTTTCTTCTGAATAGAACGAGACAAAGAAATATAATTCCCAAGAACTTGTCAAGCATCTTGCACGAGCACATTGTGATGAAGTACCAATGCTTGGTTCAACATATATAAATAAAAAATCACTCGAACCATATAAAAAAGCATCCGCTAAGTATGAGGATCTTGTTTCAACATTATATACTGAACTTTATCCAAAAATGATTGATGTACAAATAAAAAATTCACCAAATATTATAGAAACTTCTCCAATATTTAAATGTCATAATGGACATCCATTAATTGATGCTGATCGTACAAAACGTAAACGTAAAGATGGTAGTTCATATTCTTCATCAGGTTTTAGCTGTGACATATGTCACCGATCATTTCCAAGTGGTCAATCATGGCATTGTTCATGTGCTCAAAGTGGTTTTGATAAATGTGTTGGTTGTGTTGTTTTTCAATTATATGATATTCATAATGATGCATTAACATTAGCAAGTCAAGATAATGAAGAACAACAACATCGTTTTAGACGACAAACAATACGAAATGCTGTACGTTTACCACGAGGATTATTTCGTTTATTAACCAGTAATATGGATGACGATGATGATGATGATGATGATGATACTGATGATATTGTATTACGACGTGCATCATCATTTTTAACTCAACATACTACATTTGAAGGAACAGATGATGATGAAATTGAAGTTAATCCTCGTGAAAATTAATTAACAGTATTATAATGACTTAATTTTCTATTATATCCGCAGTTAACACTAAAACATGTAAAATATTCTTTGTAATTTCCCTTTTTGTTTTTGGTCGAATCTAACCTATTCGATTAATTTGTCTTCGAGTTTTCTATCAAATTGATGATATATATATATATCAGCAGCACTTTTGTGTATATTTTTATAGGTAGAAAATACATAACACTTTGATGTTTATCCTACAATGATTTATTTTAATAATCAGATTCAATAAATCTTTAATTTAATATTATTTTTCTTCAAGTATTGCTAATTGAAAAGATTTTAAGTTAACTTTACTAATATTTTACATTTTTGTTACATGTAATATAATTCAATTGTGTATATATTTATCTTTCTTGATGACCATGATTAATTCATTCATGAATAATGTTTGGAAATTATTTCTATCAAGCTAATTTGATTAATTATTATTATTTAAAATTTTAGCGAATCAATTGAAGACAACAACACAAGCAAAAGAAAAGAAAACAATCTTGCTCATTTTTTATTACAATACTTTTAAATTCTCGTTTTTTTTTTCTTTGTTCTTTTCTTTGTGAAATGTAAAAATAGCACTTGGAGAGTATTGAGAAAGAAAAAGAAGAAAAAAGTGTTGTCGGCTACTAAAATCTATTCATATTGATTGTAGGAAAGGAAACGCAAACAACCTAAAAAAAAAATAACAGAACAACAACACAATGCCATTATTATATGACAATAACATGAATTTTGAATTAGAGAATTTTAATGATGATGATGATGATGATGATGATTATGATGAACATTGTCATGGTTTATTAATTCGACGGAAAACTAGTTATACTACTCGAGTTAATAAATCTTCATCAAAAGCAAAATTATCTGCTCGTCAACAATCTGAAACTATTTATGTTGATCAAGCTATAGCATGTGCTTTAAAATCACGTTCAAAAGCGTTTCATTATACACAAAAAAACCTACAATATCTTCCACCATCTATTCAACATCTGGCAGTATGTGATTGTTTACGTGAACTTGATTTACATGGAAATCAACTTAAATTCTTGCCTAATGAAGTTGAAAAATTGAAATCTGTTGAAATTTGTAATTTAGGTGAGATGAAAAAGAGATTTTTTTTTTCAATGATTACAATAATATTCTATGTAAATAATGTCTAGAGCATTTCTTATTATTGAGACGTTGTATCAACATGAATTGTTTTTTTTTCATTTTATATACGAATTGATGTTGATAAGAGTCATGATTTAATTTAAAATCAGATAGTTTAGTTTTTGTAGCCTTTAGAAAGAAATTTTTAGACGAACTACTAAAACTTGGATCAAACGCCAATATTGAGCTTCTATTTTTATTAAAAACGTTCATGATTGAATTATTTTATTGGATGTTTGTAATTTATGTTAACACTTCAAACATCTGATTTTTCTAGGATGATTAAAATCAATCATACTAACATCCACTATGTGTAAGTTATAGAAAAAATGAACCTTTAACAATGCTCATAGAATCAAGCTCTACCATACTAACATCTATAAACACACACACTATTTACCTTCTCACTCATGTAAGTACTATCTTTGAATTATTTTGCTGAAAAAAATTTTCTGGAAGCATATGAGTATATCTTTAAAATATATTTGTATGTCATGCGCATATATTTGGAGAAAAAAAATTGTACAGAAAAATGATTTAAGGATGGCACTTATTCGAATCGGAAAGCATGTTATAAGTACTTGTGAGTGTTAGTCTGATAGAACGAGATTTGATGAACATTATTGAAAAAGAAAGTTTTCTATTAATCATACAAAGTGGGTGTTGATGAGAGTATTTTTTTGATAGAACTTGAAAAATTGTATGTTTGAATTGTTGACATAAATTATTAGTATCGTATTTTATTTGAATTTCAAAAAAGTACTTTTCGTTATTAACAGAGAAAAAAGATAATCAAAATCAATTCGATATGCTATCGATTACAATAAGCTTCAATATATTTCTTAGGAAATTTTTATATGCCGACAACAAAACATTTTTTTTGCTATTTGTTACAAGAGCAACTGACTTCTTTGATCATATTTGTTCTTCTCTATGAGTTATTCGATAAATTTTAAAAATGCTAACTATTGACAGGTACTGCTAACAGTTTATGATGAATAGATTCAATCTTAAATAATCATAATTGGTAATAAGTAAAGTTGAGATTTTCAAAAAAAAGCAAAACATTCAATAAATAGCAAATCATCTTCTTCATTATTACTTTAATATAGAAATAACGTTTCAATCGATTTAAGTACGAATACTCTTTCGAAATGAAATCCATAGCATATATTCGTTTCTATGACTAGTAATAAAGCGAATTTTATAGAGAATAGCCAATCAAGATGATTTTTATTCTATTAGCATGGATTATCCTTGATTGGGATTAGTCTTAATTGATAAGGATTTGTTCCGTCACTGTCGCCCCTAACTAATATCTGAGGAAATTTCAATGAGATATTTTGTTAACTGAATGATCATCCAACGTTTACTTTATTGAAAACAATACGAACAATGGCACACAAAAACATAAAATGGAAAAACAAAATGATTGCTTAACATTATGTTCTACATCTGATAGAAAATTCTACAGTAGAAAGATTACCATTTGCACCTTCTAATGGATGATCTATAAAGAATGGGAGACATTGATTTTCTTTTGTTGAAGACATATTTCTAAGATCATTCGATAAAGAAATTTTTCGTTGTACAAAACTGTTGATTTTGTTCTTCAAATCAGTTTCTCTTATTATCGAAAAATCGAAAAGATTGGCAATCATCAAGCTTTTAGATTACAACTGTCAGCACACACAACAATTATTAAAAATATGGTTAGGTAACAGTTTCGCCGAAATTTAAAATATGCTCCTACGTACGTTGTGAAATGCTTCGTTTCGCGATGTTTCGAAATTTTATTAAAACAACAATTGAAAAAAAAACCAATTTTTCAAACCAAAATTAATAAGCAATGCAAAAGATTCTTTCTAGCAGCTCGATGCCATTGTTGACTATGTAACGATTCTTGTTGTTCCGTTAAAATGTTACATCATTTTGTTTAGTATTAAATCGTATTCGATGGCATAATGATAAACTATTCATAGAACTCATTAGTTTTTGAAACTAAGAGTTCTAAAAGCGCATTCAAAACAACATATCATCAAGTGTTAATTTCAAGCTTTTGCACCTTAAGGACATCATTAGATGCCTTGAGAAGATGTTACGAGCATAAAACATAAAATTTTCTATAAGTTGATGCTAAATACTTTAGGTTTAGCATTGACTTTGATGAACACAAGCTTGTACAAATCGTGAGATGTCCACAAAAAATAGCAAGAGATCGAAGATGGGTAGTAGTGATGGGACCGGTTCGGTTCGGTTCCAAATATCCGGAACCGATTACATCTAAATATATATTCTAACATATTTGTTAACTTGTCTACTAAAAGTGAATGAAGAAAGTATAGCACTTTTTTATTGTTTACTCGTCTGTTTCATAAATCTTCAGTCACTAGCAATAGTTTTGTTCATCGTTCAGTACATAATTTTATAGACAATATTTTAATAGGAAGCACTGACATATATAAGTAAATATTAATTGATTATCAATTTGTATTAGTTTTTAATGCATTAATTAAACCTTGCTTTGTTTTGAACTTCAAAATAATCTTTAGCAGACGACAATAAAGTTAGAAAAAATTATCTAATTAATGTCTTTAAATGGATAGCTTTACTGAGATTTTCAGACTTTTCAAGTTTAGCCAGTCATAGTAGTTATTACTTTTCAAACTGTAAAAGACGCAATGAAATTTACAATTTTGACGAAATCGTTATATTTTGAAGAGCAACACTTTCTTTTTCAATAGGTGTGCTTTCCCCCATCACTCCGAAACCATAAACTAGAAAAATACAGAGTAATAGCTAGAAATTATGACATATATAAATTATTTCTCAAAACCTGCGCTATATGATATTTTCACAGAACGACCTTCAAAGAATAATAACCTGCTAGTTGAAAAAAGTTGTGCCCTTTACACTGCACGACGAACGAAAACGCAGTGAGCCGTTCTTGATTAACAAAAAGATTGGCTAGCCACTAAAAATACGCTACAGTCTTTTCGGATGGGGAAATATTTCTAACATAAAAACGAAAATATCTATGTTCTTAACATTCTATGCAGCTCGTTTTTCTAGGTCACTCTTAGAACTATCGAAAGCGTTATAAGCAGGTCTTCAATAAATTGTTGCAAGTAAATATTCTGAAAAAAGATTAGAAACTGATAAACTTGTTTTTCTTTATTTTTTAATCGGTTCGGTTCCAAAAAATACGAACCGATCCCAACACTGTTGAGTAGTGAGACAACAGCCGTCAATCTTTCTAATTTTTCGTCGACAAGAAAAACTTATGTAAAAAAAAAGAAAAAGATGAAGCCCACATTCTCCTATAGCGAAAAATTCTCTACCGAATGAGATTAGAATGGTGTCCTCGAACTGTGTTCCCAAGTTCATAGAAATGGCAGTGAATGAGTTCATAGACCTCTTGTATATCCACGTTTACACGCGTAACTACAATATATCGATAAAATAATTAAGCCGATAATTGAATATTAACTGCAATTAGCAAAAGAAAAAAGTAAGGGCAATGAATTCGGAAATGACTTTTTCCTGAGAATTTTAATAGGACGTGTATCGTCTCAATTGGAACGCTCCCATGCAAATTACATGCATAGAATTATAGGTTTTTAATTAAACCATTTTGTTAATCTTTGATAATTATATGATTATTCTTTTATTGATTAAATAGGAAATAATCATTTTGAAGATTTGCCAATTGTTCTTGGTTTTTTACCTAATCTTACAAAATTACTTCTATTTAATAATCATCTTGGTAATTTATCTTCATCATTATCATTTTCAAAATTAAATAATTTACGTATATTAAATTTAAA